AGTTTTGACATATTTTATACAACGCGTACAGTACGAAGATAGAAGTTACGATAATTGTCTCGTGAGTTAGTGCACGCATGTAAATTGATTATTAAGATAATCCACAATGTAGATCAAGAGAGAAAAAAATGTGTGACGGAATAGATCGTGCATCATGGAACGTACGACACTAGAAAATGATGTTACGCTTACATAAAACTACGGTACATTGCTAACTTTTTAAAAGCACGAACGCGATCAAGGCATCCGCTGTGACATTCTTGCAACACTTTCACAGGCTTCTGTGATATTCGGCAAAATTGCGGAATGTTCCGCAACATTGTTGCAAATTTTTAATTACCGCGAGAGAGTACCGCGAACGCTTTGCAATTTTCCTTTAAACTATTCAGAAATTCTCGTATCGCCGTGACGCGGATATTTAGAATTATTGCCCACCGGATTCTTCTCGCAAAGCTGCAAAATAAATTTCGACGAATTATTCGACGTGTATTCTAGACACCGCGCGTGTTACAGATTAAAATAATTTCACTCTGCGTTGGAAAAGGCACTGACAATAATCAAGATTTTAAAGGACAAGAATTATAAAAATAATCTTTTCATTAACGTTATGTACAATTTTAACAAATAACAATTTCACCAAGTTACTTCAAGCAATTAATATAATATTCAATTTACTAAATCCCTTCAGTAAATAATTTTATCAAACGATACATTTACTTTTACGAAATAACTGTTCTCCCGGAGAACTTCTCTCAGTCGTGTGTTATTATTTATTTAAATATACGTACGACACAATATGCAGCTTTAAACACGTATTCCACTAATAATGCGAATATCCGGCAGCGTAAATGATTTAAAAAAAAAAAGAAAAAAAGAGCGCGAGTCACTGCGGTTTCGAAATGACCGGAGGGTTGGCTCGATTATCTCACAGTGACGATTCCCTGCAAACACCGGTAATGAAATCAATTTCGCGGGCGTCTGTGTGGTCTCGATTCAATTAGAGCCGCGAATCCTTACGCTCGGATCGAAGTGGAGGTTCGCCTGCGGCGTGGCGAAAGGCATATTACCTGTTTCGATGCCAAGGACGTAATATTACGTCTACGGAGAGGGCGGGATCGCTTTATTGCACGGTGTTACGCGGCTCCTGACGATATTTCGAGCGCACGGCGTACACGCGTAATTGCCGAAGGAAAACACGATTACGCGAATTCTATCAATCATCGAACACGAAACGCGTAATGAACCGAGATATTCCCGTCCGTGCATCGACGAGACAAATCGACCCCCTCTATTAATTATAAATATTCCGCGATCGACCGGCGATACTTGAAATTGTCCATCGAAATATTTAAGAATCTCGAACGTGTTTAATATAATACAGCGCCATTTTATTAGTGCTTCGTTCTCCGTTACGATCGATTTAAATCTAGTCTCGAGTACCGATTGAATGAAAGAGGAAGCTGCCGCAATCGGACCAAGTTTATGAAGATTTGACTTTATTACCCTTGTCTCGCGATGAATTTAATATAAACTCGACTGGTCTTGTACGATAATTTATTAAGCTAGTAGATTGACAATCTAAAGAGTGCAGAGAATAGCGTGGCAGAGTATAACGTAGATTTTAAGTGGTATGACCTTTTATGGTCAGACAATGTCTATCAATCTCACGACGAGTAAGACAATTGGTTGGTTAATTTTCCAAATTTATTTTATTTGTTCTTATCGTTGAAACAGAGTGTGAAGAGGAGTAAAGGTGTCTTACGTAAACTTTAAGTAGTATAGTCTTTTATGGTCAGACCACGTCTGTAATCTTACGTCGAAAAATACAATCGGCTTGTAATTTTCCAAGTTTATTTTATTTATTGTTAAACTCATCGTTAAAATACAGTATGGAAAGGAGTAAAGGTATCTCATAGGTAGACTTCAAGTAGTATAGTCTTTTATGGTCAGACCATGTCTATAATCTTAGCTCGAGAAATACAATCGGCTTGTAATTTTCCAAGTTTATTTTATTTATTGTTAAATTAATACTCATCGTTAAAATACAGTATGGAAAGGAGTAAAGGTATCTCATAGGTAGACTTCAAGTAGTGTAAACTTTTATGGTAGGACAATGTCTTACGCCTACGGACTAGATTGGCTCGTAATTTATTAAGCTTAACTTTGCTAAGTAAAATTACACGTTCGTAACTGGTAACGCGTAAAATTTCACTAATGGCATTAATTGAGTCATGTTAAACAACTCTGCTGATAGTTATTCGAATTACCAACGTCCTTCCTGCTCGTTTAATTGAAACATAGCAATCGTATCAAAGTATAATTCCCTTTCTGGCTTCTAATTTCCAGAACGTTCATCCAATTTCATTCATACACGTCCAATTTTCCTGACATTTCCAGGACGGCTCTATACATATACCGAATATTAACTTTCCGCGGCTACTCAAGCCGGATAATTGAATTCAAGCCGGAGGTTTCTGTAAACAAAATCCGCATCGCTATACTCCGCGTAAATCCCTGCCAATTTTCCAGTCGGATTCGAACCATCCCGAAACCTCAATTTCCACTGGCAACTTGCTATTCCTAACTTTCGGCCGCGCGATTTTCACCCGCAAATGCTCCCCAAACCCCCCTGCCGCCCGTTTGTCTTTTTGTTATATATCGCTCGGAGAAATTCTCTTGCTTTTTACAGCCGAAGCTTCATACAAGTATGAGTTGGACAGTATTACATGAAGGAAAGATCGATTTCACACACATACACACACAGATTATTATTAATAACGAAACAAATTCAACAAAGTCGCTGTTATATTTACTTTAATTCTATCGCGTCAGCTTTACGAGAAACGCGACGTCGCTTATGTTTGACTCTTCGAATTCACGCGAACTTCGCTTTGGAATTTTTCTACAGTAAAAAAATTTGAGAACAGCTTGCTAAAGCGAATAATGTAAATCGTTATCGTGACAAAAGATTGTCTGGACAGAAACTGGACAGAATTACATTATCTTATCGACGTATTTGCAATTGCTCGTAACTACTGTGAAGCAGCATTAATAAAATCGCAGGGAAGTGTCGTTTGTCCCCGTCAATTCTTGGGAAATTTCAGCTCAGACGATGAAAATTTTAGAGGTTCAGAGAGAGAGAGAGAGAGAGAGAAAGAGAGAGAGAGAGAGATCGAATCTTCCTTCGTCGGAAACGGCGAAGGATCGGGCATAATTCAAAGGGGTTTCGTCCTTTCGAAGCTGGCTCGCCTCTTCCACGTGACGTATTTAATCGGTACTGTCAGACTTAATCAATGTCTGACACTTAGGCGGTCGGTGACGTGCATGCTGGCGAGGATTTCTAACGAGGAATTGCCGATTACACGTCGGTACACCGAGATTCCGCGACGGTTCCGTCGGTCGAGGCGGTTCCATCCCTCGGAGGCGTTACCCCGTAGGGACAAAGCCGGCGAATTTACGTGATCTATGGGACGAGACGAGCCAAGGCAGGGATTCTCACGGAATTAAGAACATTCTTGGCGGCTTGTCACGTCGTTCGATCATCGTCTGCGAAAAATTGTTGCCTCGCGTCGGATATCTTTTTTTGTTATAACAATAATAATCACGTTTGTTCAAAGATCTTAATTTTAATCTTCAATATTATAGACACTGAAATTATTATATGTCTATTATATGTCTATTATTATAGACACTGAAATTGAACTGTCGTAGAACATGTCGTGAGTATTTATTGTGCTATTACGTAGACGTATGATTAAATGATCTATTTTTGAAATAGAGCGATTTTAAGGTGTGATAATTATATCACGAGATGAGTGAAAAATAAATGGAAAATACGAGCAATAATTTATAATATATATCAGTAGATATTTTAATATCTGCGTTCAAAAGTGCATGAAACTATTGAAATCGAAAAATTATTAATTACTCTATTCCATTTTATTTTTCACGATTTTTCAATACGAAACATGTTCTTTCGTTATAATATTTCGAATTATACAAATTATATATAGCATAAATATGTTACTGGTTGTGATATAAAAATAGAATTTGGATTAAATATCGTACATGCAATTACTGTAGCAAAGTATTCGTACGGCAATATCGTGCTACTTTGAATGGTAGATAAAAAGAAAACCGAGGATGTTTTATAAGCGAATGGAATTAATACTGAATACGCTTCTCTATCCAATCGTTCATCGTTCCCTTTGAATTTTACTTTTTAATTTTTTTTTCTCAGCCATTCATACATCTTTTTTTTTCTATTTAATCGCTGCTTCGTAAAAATGACTGAATCCGCGGCTTTTTTTACAGAAATCCGCTGAGGGGATGGTTTCTCCCTCCGCGAGATCGTAAATAAATATTATCGCGGAAGGGAAAAAAAGTTTTCTCTTAATTGCCCTAGTTATTGCTGACTCGAGGGTAGATTCATTTACGATAAAACTATGGTGCACAAAAAAATAAATAGATTCTGTAATTTCATCGTGTTACTCATACACCCTTCGTTATTTCATTTTAAACAGAAGATCGATGAAAAAGTTCCTTTTTCACTGGTTAATTTGTTAACTCGTTAACCGGAGGGAATGAATTAATTCGGACTGTCGACCACTTGGACATTTTACTTTACCCGAAACTTGGAATACTTACATTTGCACCAAGAACTAAAACTAATAACTCAAAAGTTACACTGGTACACTGTATAGCGTAATATACATTACGCCCGAAAGTTTGGAGTAATTTCACGTTCAAAAAATAAGAATGGATGTACTCCTCTCCCGCTGGATCCCTCGTAACCATACTTCAACCTGTCCTACGTTACAACGTCGCTGCTCGTAACTCGAACATCGAGTTGGACAACGTCGAAACAAAACGTAGATATTTATCAAACGATTACACGTGCGAGCAGCTGCGTTCCTCTGCAGTTAACCCTCTCCGTTGTGTGTTTCACATTTCATTAATAAAATTCACAATATCAAACGAACGAACGCAGACATGTTTACCTGTTCGAAGAGATGCAGCTCGGCCAGCAGCATGTAGGAAATGTAGATGTACCTTGCGTCGTCCGGCCTGTTTCTGCCACGCACGCCCCGAAGGGGGTTCCCCTGAAGGGTGGCACGCCCCCCGGGCCAGGTGCCCCCTTTGCGCGCACTTTCACGATAATCCACCGTAATTACGTACCCGGGAGTTCCACCCTCATCACCCCCCAAACTGTCCCACCACGTTCGACGTTTCACCACGTCCACGTCCCTTACCTGTTCACCCTCTTCAGCTTCGTCGCTTCCACGCTCGACGAACACGCGCACATCCGCCGATTTCCGCCGCTGTCCTCGCACATTCTCCCGCTGTCTCCACTCTCCGCGTTCCACAACGTCACTGTGCCACGCATTTTTACCCCTCGTGATTCCCACCCACCCCCAGCCTGCCTCACGCAGCGTGCCGAGCGATTAACGCGCTCGTTTGATCGGTGATCGCCGCGGCAGCCGTGTACAAATTCCCTGACATTTGTTGGAATTATCGATCACCGACGCGGCTGAACGTGTCGCGGAACGGTGGATCCCGGTCGCGCGACACGTGCGCGAATTTCGAAAAGGCCGAAAAGAAAACAAAAATCCCGGGAACAACGTGTCGCGATTAATCGGTAAACAGCGCTTTGAACATTCGGTAATGAGCGCTCGTGGCGATGCTTCTCTCTAGTTCTGCGTCGATAACCGATAATTCTGCTGACGGGCATCGATTTCAGATCGAATTTCAAATTTTTAGATCTTGAGGACTTTTTGTACGAAGAATTGTCCTGCTGCGCTGAACGATGACAAGGATAGCGGATAAACGTTGTAAGAGAATAGCCCGGTGAAGGGTTTTTAGTCTGGTAAATTTGCACCGGTTTTACGAAGTGGAGCTTTGAGGCTGGATCACGTTCAATTAATTTACGCGAGAACGACGGTTTTAGCTTGGAATGTTTTTAGCCGTGCGACAACGTAACAACCGGCCACTTCAAGTTTTCACACTGTCATTGTTCACTTTTCAGTTTTTTATTCAAACTGGGTGGATGTCTCTCCTCCAGTTTGTTGATTTTTACAACCGGTGATAAACGTAATCCTCCAGTTTAGTTAGGTACGAGCAAACAACGTCTCCATTCGTTTTTCGTCGAAAGGGAAACGCTTAGCTCGTTTCAAGTGCTATCAAATACATCACGACGTCAAGAGCACGTCGACTCCATTGTTAGAGAGAATCCAATTCCTCCGAGAAAAATTGGTCCCTTATCCCCGAAAGGATCGGACAAACGATAGTCAGCTATAGGGACATTAGTTATTTTCTTACGGAAGACTATCTAGTTTATAAACATTAACGTTTTACATCGACGGGAGTTGGAGGTAACTTCAGAATTACATTTACACTTCAGAAGCGTCTTATTTTATTTGCTTCTCTTTGACGTGCAAAGTAATTCTAAACAAACTGACTTCCTAAATATTTCTAAACATTCCGATTAAATTGAACGACAGTAAGATGGGAAGATTTGAATCTTCACAGGATCGTCTTCAATTTCCAATACTACCGATTTAAAAGAATTATCTAAAAAAGCAACTGAAATTCCAACGACCGAAATTTTGAAAGACAGTCAACCACAAATCCAGCAACTCGGCAAAACTTTGCAACAACTAAAAACGAAAAGCTAAAAATTCGACAGAAGCTTCGAAAGACCGTCCTAACCCTAAATCGAGCGAAACACTTTTCCACCGCGTCAGTTAGCAGCTACCTAACGGTGATCCCGGTGAAACACGGCTCCGTGCAGCAATGAGCGTCGATTTCAGTTGGAGGAACGATTAGTTCTTCAAGGAATTGGGATCGGACGCATCGTGTCAAGCGCACGTCCCGGCCATTGTTACGTGGAATCCAATTCCTCGAAGAAAAATCATCCCTTTGTCCGAGAGAAGGGGTTGAACAAACGGCGCTAAACGGAAGAGGGCCGGGAGGCTCTCTATCTTGTTACGAAATCAATGACGCGTGTCCGGTTCGTTCCTCGAGGCCGGAGGAGCTGGATAAAATGTGGCCTGGGGGGATGGAACAGGGACCGGCATTTCGTCGGATTAGAAAGCGAGCCTCCCATCTTTTTCTTCTTCTTCTTCTTCTTTTTCGAGAGAGAGAGAGAGAGAGAGAGAGAGACGATTGGAACGAAGCGGCGAGAGGTCTGCTCATGATCGAAAATAAAATATACGAGACGCGGGATCGGGGAATCGGGGGCTGGTGGAGGAATGAATAATACATGGGACGGAACAGCTTGTGGTAAGTAACGAGGCGGATTTGTAAAACACCAGTGTGAGGCCTGTCACGACATCGCCGATGAACCGCAAATAATTTAGCTACATTTCACGCGGCGGACACGAACGAATTCAACTGATTTCCCACCGTTCGAAATTGGAATCTCTTCGAACTGAAGCGTCGCGACGATGGATTTCCTTTTTCTTTTCTTTTTTTTTTCTTGTAGTTTATTAACAGATTAGAAGAACGATAAAAGTTTGATATCGTACCATGTTAATAAAAGAAAAGATGTAGTAGTCACTGGAACATTTTAAACTCTACATTGTACAATAAAAAGAGATTTTGAAAGTAATTTAATTTGATAGATTTGGGGAGTACTGTCAGAGAGGTGATTTTAATTTAAAACATTCAGAATTAGGAGATTAGAATGAAAGGGTTGAATCTGATCTTCTTCTTTTCATTTGAATAATTCTATGTTGTCGTGTATTCTAACACTCTGGCGAAGATTTTCAATCTTCTAAATTTTTCTGTTCACGTCGACAAGACAAAAAAGAAAGAACAAGGTAAACGAATAGTCGCGTAAAATATAGCCCACAGAGAACGTGTTCGGGAATCCTTTCTTCGTTCGTGAAATCCCATTGTACGTCGGAGAATTGCATCGTTGACATCAGGAAACGCGCAATAACTCGACTCGAGATTAGCGCGTCGTTTGGAGCCTGGAAATCGAATATTATTTCTGCGAACGAAGTTGCTCAGAGGGGGGAATTCGTGGAAATTTTCAGAAGCATAAGGCGCGTCTCGTTCCCCTTTTAGATTGATAACAATTTTCGCCGAATGAAATGCAAAGTGAACGTCGTACTTCCAAACGAGTTCGACGCCGGAGACTTCGTCGACGTCGTCGTCGTCGTCACTTTTTCGCCTCGCGCGGACTCAACGAGGGAAAAAGTCTTTCTCCTAGAGAAACGAGAGGGAGGAAAAGTTGCCGGCGGAATAACTCGAGTTCTAGGGTCTTCAACGATGCAGATTTCTTCGTTGTTCCGACTAACTGTAACAATCACTGGGGAAACTCTCTGTATATTCTTCGAATAAAGTCGAATGGCAGCTTTTATGATGGATTAAAAAAATCTGTCACGAAATGAAGGGAAGTTCGCTAAACTACCACCCTTCCTTTCGCCTCTCCATATTTCACAAGTTCCTTGACTCCGTTATTTTCCTTTTTCACTAGCCTTTCCCCCTTTTTTTCTTTTTTTTTTTTTTTTTAACAATTCCAATATCTCTTATGAACGACGAGGAGAAAAATAAATAAAAGAAAAAGAAGAAGACAGACAATAGTCCCAGTCGACTCACATACGCATTCCACAAGTGTTTGTTACTTGATCGGATATTTTTGAGAAATAAGCATATTATCGAAATACTTTCAAACTCCGTTCAAAGTAGAGAAGTCGATTATTTGGTGAATCGGAATTGGCCAATCCAGATGAGTCGTACAATATTTAGAATTGTAAATAAAATGAAAAAAATGTGACCGGAATTAATTTGTACAATGATAAACGCTTCTAGATGAGAGGCAACCCGGCTGAAAATTTGTACAATCGAACGATTCAAGAGACAATTCCAGAGACAGTTCGAATATTCACTGACTTCTGAAATACTCCTCAATAACTCTACAATATTTTTTTTTCTCCCAATTTTGCATGTGAAATCAATTGCACGTTAAGAGAAACTAACAGATCAGAATCAGACGTGAGAATGTATTCACCTCGGGGCGATTCAATTTTCCAAACAGCGTCATATCGCGTGTGATATTAAAACATAAAATTCTATAGCAATATTTCCAATATTTCCAGAAACGTAATTGCTACGTTGAGATACAACTTCGAAGGCAATTTTGCAGGGGAAAGACTCGCTAATACGTCAGACTTTGGTTTATTAATCCAGTCGACTGGGTTCTCCGCGACTGTCAGACACGCGTCGTTCATTTCTCTCATCGTCGTTCTCGTCGTCGTCGTCCGATGAGGGAGGATTGGTTTGAAAAGCTACGGCTCGTCGACAGAACCCATTAACGGCGTCCACGGTTCGGCACTCATGCTTTCGTCTCGGTTCGTTTCGGACTCGACGAGAGGGCGAAATCTGCTAGCCAGGCCGCGCGTCAAAACAAGAATCATTCTCTTCCTTCTGTTCTCTCTATCTCTCTATCTCTCTCTCAAGGGGTAAGCAGCAGGGACAACAGCGGAGAAAATTTCATTTTAATATCATCCGAACGTCATGGCGCCAAATGCACGTTGACGCGGCGTCGCGCCGGCTCGAAAGAAGCGCCGCTGTCGTTTGTCTTCTGTCGAAAACACGTGGCTGAACTCTCGCCGACGACTGCCAGAAAAACGAACGGTACACGGTAGAGAGAGCACCTCTCCTCTGACAAATAACGAAACAATCCTTTGAAATTCCGTCTCTACGCGTCTCTATCTTTGATCTTACAGACGTTCTTCTCTGGTTCATCATGCCCATATGTGGACATATTGATGAACTCTGTTTTCTTGCTACTGTTTTGACTGTATTAAAATCGATTAAAGTACAAAGTCAGAAACATTGTCTCTTTTAAACACAGTTTAGGATCGTAGCGTTCATGGAAGTAGAAATTGAATATTGAGATTAACATCGATTATAGTATGGAATTTGTCTGTCAGAGAATTTGAAACGTTCGATAAAATTGTTTGTAACTATGTTATATATTTTAGATCCAAATCTTCGAAAAAATTTAGAAGTTATGAACAGGTCACACGCTTGGATAATGAAATTGAGAAATTGTCACAGAATTTGGAGTCGATCAGTTTGAGACTAAAGTTCATGCTGAAACTAAAAATCATGTTTCGTGACAAAATCAATTTCTCTCGTTACCTACTGTTTTCTTTCTTCGTTTAAATGATACATGTTTAGGTTCAGATAAGTGGACTTCACTAAGCAAGACAATTTAGTCAATCGTCAAAATAAAATTTTATTTCAATAAGTGGAATCTTTCGAAATTTTACAACAGGAAATCTACAAATTCGCAAAAGTGTCAAAATTTCGTTCAAATAACGAAGTTACACTACAAAAATACCCAGAAGTCTAATTTACAAAGGTTCCAGGACACCTTTATGAACCTTTATGATCCTTTGGTGCCATTCTTGATAATTTTCAATTTCCTTCCAAATTTAAATTTATACAGTCTGCAAGCAACTTGGTCCTAAATATTAGGAATAGATGTTACGCGGGAGCAAGAAAGTTTCGCCCAGAGAATTAGCTAT